CTCTACATGTGATCCATATACGCCTCTCTTCCAAAGATTTCTGGAACTCCTTTCTAGACTTCTAGAACTGACTTGAAATCTGGAAATACATGGAAATAAACCCCTTTGCTATAGGACTAACAAAGATTATATATAATCTATTGAATGAAAACTACCAATCAACTACTCCTTTGGGGAATTACAGTTTAGTTTTAGCTATGATGTTTATTTTACTTCATTAAATATTTAAGTGGCTATCATGTGTTAATAAATAAGGAAGATACCATTTGTCCTAAACAGGAGACAACTCTCCTAAAGTCATAAAACCAGGAGATGGCCTGGCCCACATTCTAAAGATCACCACTTAATCTAACAAAAAACTTGGGGAGTGACTGAGCTAACTTAGAGCTGGTGGATTAGGAGATAGAGATGCCACACTTAGTCACTGTCATCCAATTTTCCGTATTCATTGTCGCCAATTCTTCTCCTTCATTCTCTCCTGAATCCAGTCTAATCAGGTACTGAATCAGCTCTCGATGAAGTTGCTAATGACCTCCACACTAGGTCCCACAACAGTCAATTCACGAGACTCAATTTGTTTAAATTAACAAATTATGTAACCCAGCTGATCACTTTCTCCTCTTTTGAGATATTTTCTGTGCTTAAATTGAAAGACTGCATCTGGGGCCGGCGCCATGGCACACTAGGGTAATCCTCTGCCTGCGGTGCTGGCATCCCATATGGCCGCTGGTTCTAGTCCCAGTTGCTCCTCTTCCAGCACAGCTCTCTGCTGTGGCCTGGGAGTGCAGTGGAGGATAGCCCAAGTGCTTGGGCCCCTGCACCCATGTGGGAGACCAGGAAGAAGCACCTGGCTCCTGGCTTCGGATCGGCGCAGCGCCGGCCATAGTGGCCATTTGGGGAGTGAACCAACAGAAGGAAGACCTTTCTCTCTGTCTCTGTCTGTAACTCTACCTGTCTAATAAAATCTTTAAAAAAAAAAAAAAAAAAGGCATCTTTTCTTAGCTTCCGTCCTACCTCATTTTCCTTCTCCTTTGCTGGTTCCTTTCCACCTTCCTGAATCTTGAAGTTTAGCTCCCAGATGTCTTCTTTTATATTTACTCCCTTGGTGAACTCATGCAGTTTTGGGGCTTCAAATTACCTTCTGAATAACAGGGACCCCCAAACTCATTTATATATATGTTTGGACACACACACACACACACACACACATATATATATATGCAGTCCAAACTTTTCTCCTTATAACTCCAAACTCGAATAGCCAACAGTCTGCATGCCAGTTCTACTTGAATGTTTACCAGATATCCCATTTAGCATGACCAAAACCCAAATTCCTGATTTTTTCCCCAATCAGGCTCCTGTTCCAGGCTTCCCCATCTAAGTAAATGGCAACTGCATTCTTCCAGTTACTAATGTTGAAATTTTCAGAACCATCTTCAACTTCTCTCTTTTTCCTATCCCACATTCAAAGCATCACTGAAATCCTGCTAGCTCTATGTTTAATTTAAATTCAGAGTCTGACCACTTCACCCCTCTCCACAGTTATCACTCAGGGCCATTCTATACTCTGCACCACAATTATCCCTTGAAGTAACTAATGCCTTATAGACTATCCTCAACACCATAAAGAGATCATTTTGAAATTCAGGTCAAATCATGCATGTCTTCCCCACAATGGATCCCAACTTACTTAAAAGTAAAAGCCCAAGTTCTTATAACATTCTCCAAAGCCTTACATGATTTTCTCCAGACCACCTATGACAATCCCCCATTATGGTCCTAGCCAAACTGGCCACCTCACTGTTCTTCAAACACTAAGCAAACTCTTGCCTCAAGGCCTTCACAATGCCTAGTCTTCCTTGCATGCTCTCCCATCAAACTATGATCTGAATGTTGTAACCCTCTGAAACTCTTATGTTGAAACCTAATTCCCAAGATGATAATATTAAGAGGCAGGGCCTTTAGAAGGTGATTAGGTCATGAAAGCAGCGTCCTTACGAATGAGATTAGTGCTCTTCTAACAGAAGCCCCGGAGAGGTGCCTTGCCCCTAGCACCATGTAAGGCCACAGCAAGAAAGTGCCATCTAAAAACCAGAAAGCTCTCAACAAACGCAAGATCTGCTGGTACTTTGATCTTGGGCTTCCCAGCTTCCACAACTGTGAGAAATAAATTCCTGTAGATGATACACTATCCAGTTTACAGTATTGTGTTATAGCAGCCCAAACAGACTAAGACATACCAATTACCCACATGGCTTATTCTGTAACTTCCTTCAGAGACCTCCTCTCACCAACTAATATGTTTACTTGTTTGATTATTTATTTACTGTTTCTCCTTACTCAATTTTAACTTTCATGAGGCTAGGGCTTTTGTTTTATATAAAAGTCATCTCTCAGTGCTTAAAACCTAGTAGACAGCAAATAAATCTGCTGAATGAGTAACAAAACTGACAGTACACAGAACCACATCACCACTTTGACTCTGGACTAGTCACCAAAACATTTAAGCTTAAATGTTAAACAAGATGCACTTGTCTTAAAAAATCTACACTTGTTTCTACCAAATTTCGGGTTCCCTCGAAGTTTTCCAATAAAGTTAAGATTCAAAGTAAATAATTTGTTCCAACAAATTTCTCTGCTAGATGGAATAAAATTAGCTTAGAATAAAATTCTTTCTGGCTTCCTTTCCAATTTCAACACAGCTGGATGGAGAAACCCAGATTAAAACAATTTTCTGGATCCTTCTTTTCAAATTCTACCTTGACAAAGAATCTTCTTGATTATCTATGCTTCTTTTATTTTCCCATCTTTGCCCACAGTTAAGAGGTCCAGTTGTTCACACTGCCTATTTAACTCTGCAAATTAAGTTGCATGAAATTATAAATGAAAATTCTATGAGAGCTCACATGCAAAATTAGAGCACATAATCTAAACTTTAAACCATTACTATTAAGCTTCTGTACTCTGTTAAAGGGATTTAATTTTCCATGAATACCTGGAAAGCATAAGACTCTTTAGCTATAGAACTTAATAAATCATAAATTCTAAATAATTATTCAATATTAATAGCATTCTTAAAAGTTAGTATTCAGTTATCATTTCACTAACTATTGTTACACATATTGCATCATCATTCACTGTGAAAATAAGATATATTTGTATCTGTGAGCAGGAAGTGGCAAAGGGTGACAGATCATAAATGCAGTTGCTACAAAACTGCACATAAAATTTGAAGTGTGAAATGCTTATACTTTACAACTTACAAAAAATAAAAGTTGTTAAATTCATGTTGCCATGACAATTTTATATTCGGTAATGGAATGAAAATGCAATGTTTGAAAATTACATTCCCATTTAGTTCAACAGTTCAATAGTTCACCCAGATTTATAATAATCTATGGTGGAGGAAATGTACATTTCACTTGTAATTATGTAAGGTATGCTTTGAATGACAACTATTAGGAAGTCTTAATTTTATTTTTACCCCCATAACTATTCAAAGCATTATATGAAAGGCTCAGTCAGATGGTGTGAAATTCTAAGTTTATAGTCTCATAATCCTGCAATCAGTGAAATGTCACCTTCTTGACACTAAGCTTCAGATAAGAGATTGGATATCTGCTCTCACTCAATTACCCTCAATGGTAGAAATAAAAGGCAACAAATGGGTTTTAAAAGTTCAAGCCTCTCCCCCCAAACAAAAAGGGAGGCATTTGGCCTACTAGTTAAGACCCATGTAGGGACACTAGCATCCCATAGCAGAATGCCTAGGTTAGAGTCTTTGCTCTGCTTCAGAGTCCAGCTTCCTGATAAAGTACACACTGGAAGGCAGCAGGTGGCTCAAGTAATTAGGGCTATGCTATTCATGTGAAACCAGGACTGAGCTCCAGGTCGGGTCCAGCCCCTATTCTAGGACATTTGGGGAGTGAACCAGGAGGTGATCTCTCTCTCTCTTTACCTCTCTCTCATTTGTCAAAATTTTAAAGTGCGGGGTAGGAAAGGGGAGGGAGAAAAGGAAAGGGAGAAACACTAAGATTCTGTGCTACTGGCCAGCTTCTCTTCCAGTAGCTCCACCTTGTACCACTACTGCCCACAACGATCCTCCTATGAGTTCCAGGACTAACGTGGTAGAGGCTTCAAATTCCAACAAATTTTAATAACTCTTATTTATTTGCAAGGCAGAAAGAAAGAAACGGACAACACAGATCTCCCAACCACTGGTTCACTCTGCAAATGCCCGTAACTCAAGCCAGGTCTCCCACGCAGGTGGCAAGGACCCAAGTACTTGAGTCGTCATCTGCTCTGCCTCCCAGGGTGTGCATTAGCAGGAAGCTGGAATCCGAAGCAGAGCCAGGGTTTGAACTCAGATATAGTATAGAGTTCCCACGTGGCGTTGTAACCACTGCGCCAAAAGCCAGCCGGCATGGAGATTTTCAAACTGATACTAGCCCCTATCCAAGGGCTAAAATATTACCAAGTATAACGCAAGAAAAAACTTTTGAAACCTAAGACACTGGCCAAAATGAATTCCTATCTTCTCGGAAGGAAGGCAGCTGAAATACGCGCAAACGGCAACGTAACAATTTAGGGTGAGACGGGGCTCCTCTTTCTCCCATTCGGGAGGGCAGGAAAGGGTAGGTGTAAGAAACCGGCTACCCACACCACGCTTCCGCTCCGGGGTGGGGGTGGGCCGGGTCTTCCCAGAGAGGCCAGCGCAGCACAGCAGGCGCTATCACGGCTCGGGCAGAGGGCACCGCGCAGCCTGTCACCGAGACCGGAACCTGAGGAGCCGGGGCAGCGGTGAGGAAGTGGGGAAGGCGGACCACTACCGAGGCAGGGGTTGCCAGGAGACCCCGTTGGACCCGGCGGGGAAGAAGACCCCCCAGGAGCACAGCGACCAAGTCCTCCTGCCCTCCGCGCCCCCGCTCCTCGGGACGAAAACGGGGGTCCGAGCGCTCCTCCCACCCCTTTCCGCCCCAACCCCACGCGGCTGCGCTTACCTGCTGTACCCCGAGGAACTGGTAGAAGTTGAGCTGCACCTCCTCCACCAAGTCAAACAACTCCAGGTCTCCGCTCTCCCAGCCGCGCGCCGGCCCGGCGGCCGCCAGCAGCAGCAGCAGTAGCAGCCACAGCGGCGGCGGCAGCGGGAACGGCCCGAGCCGGAGCCCGCGGCGCTCAGGAAGCGGCGCCAGCCGGGGGCAGGGAGCCGTCATTGAGCCGGGCTCGGAAAGGTCACTAGCCAGGCAGTACCGTCGGCCGAGACCGGGGACGTGGCGGGGAGCGCGAGCTGTGGGGAGTAGCGCCTGTCAGTCAGAAGCGCGGGCTGCCGCTCCGGAGCGGCCCACCCGACTGCCGGCCCCAGAGGGAGTGCGCGGACTGCCGGAGCCGGCGACCGCAGCGTCGGGCGGGCAGCCGGGACTACCTTCCGCGGACCCTCACTCCCAGGCCTACAAACAGCTGGAGGGCCAGCGCCCGGCGCCGAGGTTACAGAGGAGGGGGAGAGGCTTCCCCGCGCCTCAGCCTATCCTGGGCCTCGCTTCCGGTGACATCACGTCTCCTAGCAACCGCGGCGAGGGGCGGGGCCGGAAGTAGGGACTCCGGGCGCCCCAGTTCTGGGCCTTGTAGAAATTCCTCTTGGTCTGTGGTGCTTAGGGCAGAGGTTTGCGTGCGTTTGCTCATATTACCACACGTGGGCACTTACGGCCGTCACGCAGCCACCTGGAACGTACCACGTGTAGATTTCCTTCGAAGTCCCTATCGTCTTGCCCGCCCCCACATAGTGAACACCAGAAGCCTATTCAAGGCCTGATTTATTGATTACAGCTTGCGCTCCATACCTTTCATTATTCCATCAGCCATGATAGAGGAAACTGAACCAGACAGCGAGTAGAAAGTATGTTGTTTTTTTTTTAAGAAAGCAGAAAAGGAATGCAAGCCAAGACCCAAAAAAGTGTGAGTATACTTCAATTATGTATTAAGATTTATTTACAGGCGTAGAGGTAGGTGTTGGGTTGGGTGCAGCAGTGAGGTCGCTGCTTGAGACTCGCGCATCCCATCTCAGAGTGTCTGGATTCCAGTCTCAGTTCCTCTGTTTCAGATCAAGCTTCCTGAATGCACACCCTGGAAGGCAGCAGCCTCAAGTACTGGAGAGCTTGCTGCCCTCCATGAGAGACCTGGATTTAGTTCCCACCTCAAGGGCTTGACCTAGCTGTGCCCTGGCTATTGCTGGCATTTGTGGGATGAACCAGTAGATAAAAGATCTCTGACTGTCCCTTTCTGTCTGCCTTAAATAAAGTTTTCAAAAGGAAGAAAAAAAATTTTGCAAGCATAATAAAATTGGCAGTTGGGTCGAATTAACACTTGTGACTCAATGACCGTCTTAGAAGTTTAATTTCACCGCCAGAACCTACTCAGCCTCAGCTGGGATTCTTTTTCCAATTGAGGTCTATTTAAAGAGTTGCATGGAGGCAGGGATGACGTTGTGGTACAGCAGGTTAAAGCAGGCCTGCTACGCCAGCATTCCACATGAGCACTGGTTGGAGTCTGACCTGCCCCACTCTCTCTCCAGCTCCCTACTAATGAACCTGGGAAAGCAAGGGAAGATGGCCTAAGTGATAGAACCCCTGCCACCCACGTGGGAGACCCTGGGAGACCTGGGTGGCGTTCCAGACTCTTAAATGCACCCTGGCCAAGCCTCAGCCTTTGAGGCCATTTGGGGGAGTGAACCAGTGGATGGAAGCTCGCTTGCTCTCTCTCTTTTTTTTCTCCCTCTGCCTCTGTAACTCTGCCTTTCAAATAAAATAAATATTTAAAAAAAAAGAAATATAGGCTAAAACTTCCTCTCTCTGTGTTAATAATGTCTTCCCTCCAATTTTCACATTGATCCTTATGAGTCTCTTTTTAATTTTTTTCACTACTGTTGTTCTTTGTGTAATTTATTTTTGTTTAGGCCACCTCATGTTTTTTCCTCCCTGACTCCCTACTCTTGTGAATCAAGTGAAAACAGAAAATCAGAATGCTACCCTATTTTTGAACATTTGACCTCATGCTTTTCCCATCTTGTATCTAGTCTGTGAAATTAAGATAAATAGGGTCATGATAGCACTACTTATGCAGAATAATAATATTTTACATTTGATAAAATTAGAAAAACACTTTAGGAAGCAAATCTACTGAGGAAATATCCAGTTTAAGAATATGTTGAAGTCATAAGTGAATGCAAGTATATGTTGCTTGAAATTAATGTATACACATAAATTAATGACAAGAGAATCTATCCTGAAGTTGATGCTTCAGATATACCAGAGCAGGGGTGTCTGAGTCTGCTGTGTCCCCTACAACAGAATACCTGAGAGTCAAGTAATTTAAACTACCAACATTTCTTTCTCAGAGGTCTGGATGTTGCATCAGGGAGTCAGCATGATGGCTTTCTTGTAAGGGCCTTGTTCCTGATTTGCAGATGGCCCCTGCCTTGCTGTGTCCTCCCATGCCCAAGGGAGAAGGAGGGAGAAGATGAGATGGGGAGGAGAGAGGGAGAGATGCCACATCTCTTCTAATAAAGATCCCCAGCCCATCAGGGTGCTGTACCTTCATAAGCTCATCTAAACCTCCTGAAGGCCTCACCTCCAAAGACTATCACATAGGAATTTTGGAAGGGCACAAACATTTAGTCCATTGCATTACTTTTTGTGTGCATCCCCAGTCCAGAACATAATGATGACAGCATGTGATAGCATTCAGTTAGTTGAATTGAATCTGATAACTGCCTCATCACTGTTGCCCCACTCTAGACTACAGTTTTATTTTTGGTGTATCAGTTTTCTTAAAGTGAAAGACATTGCTACAAGTTCCTAAATCAGATTAATGCTTATTCAATGAGTAAATAAAATAATATGAGTAATAGTAAAAATTACTTGATATCTTAATATTCATCTTTTTTTCCAATGTGGTCATTAAATTAACCACAATATGACATTTAAAACTAGGGCTGCCTTACCACAAATATAGGATGCTTACTCTGATCTTTTGGCAGGTAGTCTAGTATTTCCCTCATGAGCTCTACGTTTATGTTGTCCAAGAATCCTAGGGACTTATTCCATCTAAAGGAAGTCCATTCTCTTTCCAAGGCCAAGCTAAAAAGCAGTTGGAGTCACTTTGGTACAGTACTTCTTGCTGACAAAAGGAGTTACTTGGGAAGATTCATCCCACCCAATTCTAATCACACTTGGCTACCTGGAGATGATGGTTCTTGCTGGTCCAGGTCCCTTGCAAAGTCCAAAATTATATTCCTATTTAGACTTCTAGTTTGGTGCCTTCATATGTTCAGCCATTGTCTCACAAAGGATGGTGCAACTGAATCAATCTTCTTTGGCCAAAGTCTGAACCAAGAGAGTTGATAATCACTAATTGTTTTTTTCTCTGATAACATTTACAGATTCTGGACATGGACTGGTCAAGCTTGGCCTCAGCAGAGGGCCTTCACACAGAAAAAGAGGAACCAATAAAATGTTCAACAGTCATATGGAATGGAATGGGAATGAAAAGGATACTCAACCATACAGCCCATTTTCCCACAAGACATTTATCGAGTTTGGGGGTTGTACCAGATGCTGAGGGATTGGACCTGGTAGGCAAAGTAAAATCTCCTCCCATTCTACCAAGACATACAAAATTCACTCCACTTAGAAAGTGCCTGCCTCAAAGACAGAGGCACTGGCCGGCGCCGCGGCTCACTAGGCTAATCCTCCGCCTTGCGGCGCCGGCACACCGGGTTCTGTCCCGGTCAGGGCGCTGGATTCTGTCCCGGTTGCCCCTCTTCCAGGCCAGCTCTCTGCTGTGGCCCAGGAGTGCAGTGGAGGATGGCCCAGGTGCTTGGGCCCTGCACCCCATGGGAGACCAGGAGAAGCACCTGGGTCCTGGCTTCGGATCAGCGCGGTGCGCTGACCGGCAGTGCGCCGGCTGTGGCAGCCATTGGAGGGTGAACCAACGGCAAAAGGAAGACCTTTCTCTCTGTCTCTCTCTCTCTCACTGTCCACTCTGCCTGTCAAAAAAAAAAGACAGAGGCACTTTCACTCCTCGAGACATTCCCAATATTTCTGCGATATGAGCAGAAGTCTGAAGATCTAAAGTTTAACATCTCTCAGAGACAGAACTGAATCTCCTGAGCAAAGGAAACGAGGTCCTTCCAGGCTCTTAATCAGATGCCCTGAGGAATTACGTGAGAAGACCAGAGAACCCAGAAGTGGCCAGAGTCTCACTAAAACTGCCACCCAGTCCAACCCAGCTCATCCCTGAATAGATTGAGGTAATCAGACCACTCTCTGTTTTTCCATCTATATTGTCTATAGGTTTTTAATAGAAAAATCTGGCACTTGGTAAAAATATTCTGACACATGAGAAGAGCAGGAAAATTTGACCAGTAATCAAGAGAAAAAAAAAGTAGGTAATAGAAGACCCATAGATAAATCAGATAATAGCATTCAGTTTAGAATTTTACCATCGTAAAATAAAGCAATAGGAGAAAAAGTAGACAAAATGAATTAAAATATACAGAATTTTAACAATTGGAATCCATGAAATAATTAATGGAAAATCTTGAATTTAAAAATATAATATCTACAATAAAAAGCTTAATGAATGGGTTTAACAGCTGACTGGACACAGCAGAACAGAGGATTAGTGAACTTGAGAACAGGTCAAGAAAAAATATTCAGAACAGGCACACTTATAAAGGCAGAAAGTAATTTAACAGTTACTTAGGGCTGAGGGTAGTAGAGGTTAGATATTGACTGCTAATGCATATGGGAATTTTTTAAGGAGTATAAAAATGTTCTAAAATTAGATCACGGTAATGGTTACATAAACTTGTGAATACTAAAAACATAGACTTGTACATTTTAAGTGAGGAAAATGTGTGTTGTGTCAATTATATCTCAGTAGGGCTGTTAAAAAAAGGAAGGAAAAAACAACCATACAAATGCAATAAACTCGGCAAACTCCCATAGGATAAATGTAACAAATCTAAGTATGTCATAGTCAAACGTTAGAAAATCTTCTGGGGGTTGGCGCTGTGGCATAGCGGGTAAAGCCGCCGCCTGCAGCGCTGGCATTCCATATGGGCACCATTTCGAATACCGTCTGCTCCACTTCTGATCCATTTCTCTGCTATGGCCTGAGAAGGTGGTCAAAGATGGCTCAAGTTCTTGGGACCCTGTACCCACATGGGAGACCTGGAGGAAGCTCCAGGCTCTTGGCTTCGGATCGTCTCTGTTCTGGCCATTGGGGCCATTTGGAGAGTGAACCAGCGGATGGAAGACTTCTCTCTCTCTCTTTCTCTCTTTCTCTCTCTCTCTCTCTTTCTCTACCTCTCTGTAACTCTGCCTTTCAAATAAATAAATAAGTAAATATTAAAAAAAAAAAGCTTCTGAGAAGCAATGAAGGCAAGCGTTTCAAAAAGCCTTAAAGAAGGAAATCTTAAAGTCTAAGGAAGGCAGAAAATTAATGAGCTAATATAAATATGTGCATAGTTCAGTGTAAGGAGTTAAATAATCAGAATTAATCTGCCTTTTACTTTTTTAAATGGTTTTAGTGAAGACATCTAATTATTTTCAATATGGTGCTTTGCAAGTAAGCTGGGAATGTATCAGCTCTTATATGATTAAAGAATGATTTTACATGTTAAAAATCATTTTGTAGGTTCTGTAGACTCTATGGATAAGGTTCAAGGTGTAACTATTTGTGTGTGGCTAAAATGCACAGGGAAAAATATGCAATGAGAACAGGGAGAATCCAACTTGTTGATGGGTCATCCACATAGAGGTTGATAGGAAGAATTTTGATCCTGTTACACAAAATCTTGAACATCATAATAACCATTGCCTTTAAATAGATATGTGTGTGTATGTGTATATTTATATGTATATAATTTACTGATTAGAGAGACAGAGTTCCCATCTGCCAGTTTACTACCCAAATGCTTGCAACATCTTGGGATGAGCCTGTCCAAAGCTAGGGGCTGGGAACCCAATCCAGGTCTCCCACACTGGGGTAATGGTAGCGCAGGAACGCAATTACTTGAGCCATCACCTGCCGCCTTCCAGCGTCTGCATTAGCAGGAAGTTGGAATCAGAAGCTGGAACTGGAGATTGAACTCGCAGGCACTCTGATGTGGGACACAGGCATCTTAACAGGTGTCTTAACTGCTAGATCAAACTCATGCCCATGACCTACCCTTTGACAGCGGGGAATGTGAAAGAATACTGGTAAATTAATAGACCAATAGTACACAAAGACGCTTCAATAAGATATTTGGTAGTTTATCATTTACTTTTGGGTGAGATTAAATTTGTGAAACAGAATGGAATATAGAATCTATTACAACTAAAATCTAAACTCATAAAAGCAACATTAATGGCCTATTCATCTCATGATTTAGAAAAATCTGGCTCTCATTAAATCTTGAAATGTTCTCATTAGCCTCTATATGGCTGTTTCTCAAATACATGGACATGAAGTTCTGAGATGTCATTGTTCTTTAATGGAACATTATCCTCTCTTAGTAATTTATTTATCCAAACACTATTCACAGACTTTCATTGAGTTGACAAAGGTTAGAAAAATATTGTTTTGGGGAAGCACCTTCTTGGGAAATAATTCCTTTTGTATTGCATTTTGAATTTTAATCATTTGAAGGTCCTTATGAATAAATACAGATGTTCTTCATGTTATAAATAATAAATATAAATTTCTAACATGTTGATTTTCACTTCTTTGAATAATGCACTACTTATTCAAATAACCTCATAGTGAATAAGAGCACAGATTCCAGAACCAGTTAGATTAAATTTGAGCCCTAGCTCTATCAGTTACTAGCTGGGTGATTTCTGTGTTTCATCTTACTCTAAAAATTTGAGTAACACTGCCATCAAAATCTAAGGTTGTTGTGGGAATTAAGTGAGATAATTAGTGCTGAGTATATAGCGATTGCTGTATATATATAACTATAATTTTATGGAAAGTCTTTATATTGTATTAAAGCTTCCATAAATAAATCTTATCTAGTTATTTTTATTGTTTTTTCATTTGAGAGCAGAGAGAGACAAGAGATATGGAGACAGGGAGGGAGAGGGAGAGAAAGCTCCTATTAGCAGGTTCAACCCCTGGGTATCTACAATAGGGAGGTACAGGGGGGCCAAGCCGGTAGCTTGGAACTCAACCAGGCCTCACATGAGAACTACTTGAACTATCAGCGCTGCCTCCCAGGGTCTGCTTTATCGGGAAGTTGGAGTCAGGAGCAGGAGTTGCGAATCAAATCCAGCTACTCCTGTATAGCACACAGCTATCCCAACCACTGGCCAAATGCCTGCCCTTATCTCTTTGTAAATGTCTAGATGTTGTCTTTAAAAGTATTTGTTATCAAGCTTAGGCTGTTCTTGTACACGTCACTAGAAATTTGTCTAATCTTTTGTCTAGATTGATAAAAGACTTAAAAGACTTTTCACACACACACAAAAGTGATTGTTAAAGTCAGTTTAAATTTTTTCATTCCAACTTCATAAAAACATACTAGTAGGGCCAGCATTGTGGCATAGTGGGTTAAGCTGCTGTCTGCAGCGCCAGAATCCCATATGGGTGCCAGTTCAAGTAGTGGCTGTCCAATTCCGATCCAGCTTCCTGCTAGTGCACCTGGGAAAACAACTGAGGATGGCCCAAGTGCTTAGGTCCTATACTCACGTGGGAGACCCAGAAGAAACTCCTGGCTCCTGGCTTCCGCCTGGCCCAGCCCTAGCCATTGCAGTCATTTGGAGAGTGAACCAGTGGATGGAAGACCTCTGTAGCTCCCTCTCTCTCTCTAATTCTGCCTTTTAAATAAATAAAATCTTTTTTAGAAACCAATTATTAATGATTTTCCTGCTAAATTCAGCTTCAGGTTAAACAGCAGATATTAATAGCATGTACCTGATTGAATAAAAGGAAAACATTCACATTCAACTATTTAGTCATTCGAGATTCACTGGTAGTTGTCATCTTACTCTGTAGTAGCTAGCTCCAGGTTTTCAGTGATATTTTCTGCTTGGTGTGGACTTTAATTATCACAGAAAAATCCATGTTAAAATTTCTTCTAACATCTTGTGGTTCCAGGATTATCATTTTTCAAAGGTTTTTAGTAACTAACTTGAATAACTTTTTAAAATTTAAGCATTAGTCTTTCTCCTTCAACCCTCTCTCCTACCAACTCCTCAATTCAACACAACCACAGCAATTGTATTTTCTTCAAACACAAAGGTTCCAATTAGCCTACAAAAGGAAATTTTAACAGACCTCTTCTTCAGCCTGAACAGCTTGGTTTTGGCATCCAGCCACTGAGCGCTAGTACTATTTATGATGCCAAATTGGAACACAGAGGAAAACAGTGCTGAGTTGCTATTCACCTCAATCAACAGGCCCCAACTAAGGCATGAGTGTGTATGTAGAAATTCCATGCCTCATAAGTTCTTGTTATTAAATTTACTACGAGGAGGCCATATTCTGCACAATCCTGCATTGGTAATATGATCACATAAAAACATGGAGACAGAGTAAAGAAAACTTGGTTCCAAATGGTAAGATATGGGAAATTTAAATTTGCCGTCCTAAATATTTCTGTTGCATTGCACCCATTTTACCAAGCTATATATCCCAACTTCATCTCTCTCCACCTCCTATTTAAAATGCTCTATCATTTTTTCCACCACATATGGGCTCTTAGTGATAAGATTTCATAATTAAAGTCTATTAACTTTAAAAAAAAGGGAGATAATAATTTCACCACCAGGGGGCAAACAACATTTTTATAGGCAGAAGATGTATTTAACATTTTACAGAAATTATCTCCTGTGAACATATCCTTTTTACTGTTAAAATTCAGTACACTTAAATTAACAGATATGATTCTAACTTAAATCTTTAAATTTAAGGATAGAGTATGTTTACAAGGGAGAAATTTTTACAAGTTGTCATTAATTTGTATAATTATATAAGTCCATTTTACTTGTGTAGTAAATGGATGCCCTTCCTTTTGTGATAAGTTTTTAGGTGTTAAAAGGAAATTTCTCCCTCCATTTAGCCTTTTCTTTCCTGTATATACTCATAAAGAAGAAAAGCAGAAATGGGCTTTTGGATTGCTAGTCTAGTCTTTGTCTAGAGGGCCTTTACATTACTTTTAGTGTAGATACAGGATATCTTGACAAATGGTTCTGAAGTATGTATTTCAGCTCAGCTTAACTTATATACTTAGGTCTTTATTTCCTTCTGAATTTGGGTTTATTGTCTTGCTTACATTAATTGACACTTTACCATTTTCTAATTGTATGTATTTATTTATAATTATTTATTTATTTATTTAGAAAGGCAGAAAGAGAGAGAAATCTCCTATCCACTGGTTCACTCCCCAGATGCTAACAATAGCTGGGGACAGGCCAGGCCAAAGCTAGGAACTGGGAACTCAATCTACTGCCCAACCCCTTGGCCATCACTGCTGCCTCACAAGCTGTGTATTAGCAGGAAGCTGGCATTGGAGTGAAGCCAGGACTTGAATCCTGGCACTTGGATATGCCATGTGGACCTTCCAAGTGGCATCTTAACTTTGCCAAATGCCTACCTCCACTTGCTAATTTTATATGGGTGAAATGATCATTTTGATAAATTACTCCCTTTGAAACTTTGATACCACTAAACTTATCTGGTACAGCACCAGAATTGTGAATATCTCATGGACAATAAACAAAATTTTCAGTACAGTAAATTATTGGCAATAAAAATCTCTTCAGTGAAAATTTCGGTCCAAAATGTGTAAGTCCTGTCGTCCAAAGTTTCTGGATATATGATTATTCCTGAGTTGTAAGTAAATATTCTAGTAATGGAAGCAAAATGAGATTTTTTTTTGTAAACGAAGGCATCTGTGGGATGGTAAAATAACCACATTTCACTCCTCTTGGCTTATTTTCTCTCCCCTCTTCCTGCTTCTAATTGTTTGCCAAGACCACATTTCCCTGAATTGATTCTAGCGATATCATTATTTCAAACGAGGGCTGGAGGAGAATGCAGAGGCCACAGTGGTCTGGCAAGACCTGTGGCTGGCTCACACCCCAGCATGGTTATTACCATGTTCCCAGGGCTACCACCAGGGGGGACAGAACGGAGCCAGATATCCCTTCCTGTTCACCTAAACGATATTTTTATCCAGGTGAAATCACATTGAAGTAAACATTGCTCACAAACATAAGGAGAAAAATAAGTTGCAAAATGTCAGCATAAAGGGCTTATTTAGACACATGCTAACATATATTCCATGTCCTGCCCTCTGTTACATTACTGTGGAAGGGAAATTTAGAGATAAAAGGGTTTTTTTTTTTCTTCTGCTGTTAATTTGCTTCTTAAAAAAAAAATATGAAAAAAAAATGTGTTTTGAGCTGTTGGTTCTTCAGTGGGTTAAGCCCTGCTTGGGATGACCACACTCCATATGCAGTTTAAGCCCTGGCTCCTCTGCTTCCTGCTAAGGTGCCTGTGAAGGAAGGCAGCAGATGGACCCAGGTATGTGGGTCCCTGCCACCCATGTAGGAGACCCGGATGGAGTTCCTAGCTCCTGGCCTTTACCTGGCCCAGCCCCAGCTCTTGCGGGCATTTGGAGAGTGAACCAGTGGATGGACAATTTGTCTCTCTCTCTCTCTGACTTTTAAATAATCTTTTTTTTTTTTTTAAGTGTGCTTTGAGGCAGGTCTTTATCTGTTTTTCAGTTAAAATACCGGTGAAAATGCGCACATCCCACATCAGAATTTGCCATGTTCGTTTCTGGGCTGCAGCTGTGCCTTCAGCTTCTCTCCAGTGCAGACCCTGGGAAGCAGCAGTCAAGTAGTTGGGTCCCTGCCATCCATGTCAGGAACCTGAATTGAGTCAAGGCTCCCAGCTTCAGCCCCTTGCCCCTCGCCTCCCATCCCTCTGGTGGCCAACATTTGGGGAGTGAACCTGTCCACAAGAACTCTGTCTTTCCGCCTCTTGGATTAATTAATTAATTGATACTTTTGTAAAAAGCTGAGAATCTTGGCTAGGTATTTCAGGGTCAGATGGACAAATTCTATGGGAAGAAACAGAAAAAATTCACTTAACATTTTTTAATGTGTTTTAGTGTCACTTTACAGGTGTGGCTGCTTCTTTTCCAACAGAAGTGTGTCCTTGAGACACTGTGCAGTCACTCTGAAACATTACAACCTGTATTAGATACCACGGTGCATCTCTTCAAATGTTCTACGTTTTACTCGTACACTAGCTATACCCAAGTGACCAGTTTCATACTGGCTTCAGCCAGCCTCCCACAAGTACACTGGAAAGGACTTTGCCTTGGGTCAAATTTTCTGACTTTTACATTTTTGTAGTGGCAGGTGATTGCCTATATATACTATCTAGCATTTTCTTAAAAATTTAAACACACTATAGAATATCTTTAAGGTAAAGACACTGTTTAAGAAGTAAGAAAGAAGCTCATACTATACAGAGAACTATACATGGAAATGAATATTTGGAAATATTTCCACGATTGTATTTTTTTTGGCCAAAATTTGTATATGTCACTAATAAAAAGCAATTAAACTAATAAATGCTCTTTTATCTGAACCCTTAAAAACTTACTCAAAAGTCTTGCAAGTGAGGATCTAAAGATATAAAATCCATTTGTTAAAAATATAAAAACTACTACTTTTCAGTCAGTTGGCAAGAATAGTTATTTGGCATTAGGGAGGATGGACAATTCTAAGCTATATTTTAATTTTAAAATTTTATTTAAAAGAAAATTTTATTTATTTGAAAGGCAAACAAACAAGACACCAAGTAAAAGAGCAATCTCTTATCTGCTGCTTCATTCCCCAAATACCTTTAACAGCCTGGATTGGGCCAGGCTGAAGCCAGGAGATGAGAACTCAACCTAGATCTCCCATGTGAGTGACAGGGACCAAACTACTTGATCAATCACCATTGGCTCCCATGGTGTCCATCAGCAGGAAGTTAGAATCAGAAACAGCAACAAGATTTGAATTCAGGTACTCCATGATGGGATGTGGGTGACCCCAGCAGGGGCTTAACTGCTGTGTTAAATTCCTGTACCATTAAGCTATGTTTTAGCAAAAGTCTTTGCACAATTGCTGAATGGAAGTGAAAAATGAATCTAAGACTTAATGACAGAGTGAACTCCTTTCATTGGAATTTGTGTTTCTCGGTGGAATGTTTCTTACCTATGACAACCATTAAAACTAAACAGCTAAATGACTTGAATTTAGAATCAGACCTTCACTTTGTAACAAAATGTTAAACCAGATTTAAAAATAATCATTTTCAGCACATGAAAATTGATGGTAATATTCTTCAGTTTGAAAGATAGTCTTCGTTTAATGGTGACTTCATGAGACAATGGTTAAGAAGGTTTTAAGTGGGCTGGCACTGTGGCATAGTAGGCTAAGCCTCAGCCTGCGGCACCGCCATATTATATATGGCACCAGTTCATGTCTTGGCTACTCCTCTTCTGATCCAACTCTCTGCTATGGCCTGGAAAAGCAATGGAAGATGGCCCAAGTGCTTGGGGCCCTGCACTCATGTGGCAGATCCAGAAGAAGCTTCTGGCTTCAAATGTGCCCAGTTTTGCCATTGCAGCCATCTGGGGAGTGAACCAGTAGATGAAAGATCTCTCTCTCTCTCTCTCTAACTCTGCCCCTCAAATAATAAACAAAACAAAAAATTTTAAAAGGTTTTGGGGCCAGCACGGTGGCGCACTAGGTTAATCCTCTGCCTGTGGCGCCGGCATCCCATATGGGCGCCAGATCCTAGCCCTGGATGCTCCTCTTCCAGTCCAGCTCTCTGCTGTGGCCCGGAAGGGCAGTGGAGGATGGCCCAGGTGCTTGGGTGCCTGAACCCGCATGGGAAACCAGGAAAGAAGCTCCTGGCTCCTGGCTTCGGATCAGCGTAGCTCTGGCCGTGGCGGCCATTTGGGGAGTGAACCAACAGAAGGAAGACCTTTCTCTCGGTTTCTCTCTCTCACTATCTGTAACTCTGTCAAATAAATAAATAAAAATCTTTTAAAAAAGATTTTAAGTGTATTCCATTTAGAGCACATTTCACCCGTTGCTTACTTTTCAAAATGCTTGCTCTTTCCTCATTGTTATTAACTTCATCTTTACTTTAAAGGAATGTATTACTTAAGAAATATTCCTTTCATTTAACTTTTAATTGAATTATCTTGTGGCCTCCCACCACACTCAGAATGAATCACTGTTGTTTGAAAACCTACATAACCTTATGCTATGGTTTGGATGTGGTATTTCTCCCTCGTGTTGAAAGCTTGGTCTTCAGTGTGGTGATGTTAAGAGGTGGTGGGATCTTTAAGAGGTGGGGCCTAGCATAAATTGTTGAGATCATTGGAAGCACTGCCCTAGGAAGAGATTAGTGCTCTTCTAGTGAGGCTTCTGGCTAGCACTTTTGAGAGGATTTCTTTAAAAAACATGCTTGGCCCCTCCCTGGCCTCTTCAGCTTCCGGTTTCACCTCGTGGCATCTCCCTCTTATATGTGTTCCTGCTGTGGTGCCACTTCCCATGATGTGATGCAGACCTCACCAGAGCTGGCACCATGCTCCTTGGACTGTCAGTATCCAACACTATGAGCTAAACAAGTCTCTTTTCTTAATAAAGTAGGTAGCCTCAGATAGTTCGTTACAGTAACAGAAAAAGGATTAACCCATTTGGACTCTGCCTAACTGCACCTCATCTCTCTCTTGCTGCACTTGTCTGCCTTCAGAGCACACCAAGCTCAGCAGTCTTAGGGCCTTTGAATTTTCCAGGGTTCTCCCCACAGATCTCTGCTTGGGCAGCTTCAAATGCTTCATTCAGGTCTGCACTAAAATTAAACCACATCAGATAGGTGCATCTCACCTAAAAGTTCACTCAGTTGCTCCCCTTCACAGCACTATCTGCTTTAGTCTGACTCTTGTTACTACAACTAAAACACCTGAGAGGATTTTCTTGTGAAGGAAGATGGCTTATTGCAGCCTACAGTTTTAAAGGTTCATAGTCCAAGGTCAGGTGGCCTCATTGGTCTGGTATCTTTTGAGGGGGATGGAGGGCACAGTGCTTATGGAGGGAGGATCATATGGCTAGACAGGAAGGAGAGAGAGAGCAACCAAGCTGAACTATGCTTATATAATCAACCCTCCCCTCAGAACTACCTTTTGAGACCATGTCCCCAGTGACCTGAAGACCATCTGCTTGACCCATCTCCCAGATACCATGACTAGATCACTAGATCAAATCTTCATCCTTAATGCATTAACCATTAACATTAATCAGTTAATCAGTAAAATAACACTTTGGGGACCAAGTTTCCAATATATAGATCTTTAGGGCATAATCAAACTATTCTCCAAGCTATAGCACCACTTCTCATAGTGTTGATTTTGGTTATTTTTCCTTATCTCTTCATTTTTAAATATTGTCTGACTCACTAAAATGCAGATTCCTTGACAGCACGGACCTTTGTCTTTTTCATTCCTTCAAATACTGCTTGGCCTATATTAAGCATCCCATAAATATTGTTGAATTAAAAGGTGAAAACTTTTCCTCTCTGATAATTACATACTATATTGTAGATCAGATTCCCCTGACAAAGCAATCAGGTATACTGGAGAATTGTCCATATTGAAGCCAGGGGGAGAATATTCCATGTTTTGCTATGTAGAACCTTCATAGTAAAGAAAGGGATGACTTGAACTACACGTTGCATTGTGTTACTTGGTTGTATAACAAGTCTGAGGCAGCACTTACTTTGCAAGAATTCTGTGTGTAGCTACTCATTTTGATCAATATACTGAACTATTCATGATTTTTTCAAAACAAGTCAGATTCTAACTTGGTACCAAAGTGAATGCTATGTATAGAAGTTTCTCTGGCACATAAAACTTTCATTGATATCCTGAAGAAATACAACAAAGAGATTTGATTGATATTTATATTCTGCTCAGTTGCAATAGGACATGATTCAGATAATTCTAAGTTTCCTTAGGATTTGTCCTGAGAATTCTATGCAATGGCTTCAACACATAGAGCAACAATATTTCTAGGAGTACTTAGATATGCAAATATTTCCATAATTTTATATACTAGTATGAGAAAAGATTTTGAAACCCAACCAATTGTTTCATTTAGTACAGGATCACATTTCACAGAACCATCATTTTCATTTATATTCAAAAGTGAGGCTTGTTGCTATTTAAGGTTATGTTATTCATTAACTCTACCAACACATTTTTTTCATGTTAAGGTCATAGTTGTGTTTCAGGTTTGTTTCATAATGATGTCTCCAGCTGTATTTTTTGACATAGAAGCACTTTGATTAAAACTCATGGGAATATTCTCATTTCTACAAAGAAAAATGCTTGTTCTCATTTTTTTGAAACAGAAAGCCTTTACGGTAGGGTTGTTGGATTTAGCAAACAAAAAAATACATACACAGAATATCTAATTATATCTGAATGTCAGACAGACAACAAATATTGCATGGAACATACTTATTCTAGAAAAGTATGTGTCGTTTATCCAACATTCAGCAAATATTGTCTGGCCATCCTGATATGTCTTCATTTTGCCCATGATTTATAGAGACAGCTAGCAAAATGCTCAGATAGTCTTCATTACTTTTTTGTTATCTTTAAATGCTGTCAACTGTTTTAAAATCAAAGTGGGGAACTTCTGCTTCCAACCAAGTAACAGGGGGCTGAAACAACAAACCAAAGCAAAAGCAAGTAAAATAAGTGAAGCAGCCACTCCCCAGGACATTGGAAATCAGGCAATGAAGGTTTTCATTATATCAAACAATTAAAAAGCACATATTAACTAAGCATTTTCCACATGTAAATCCTGTGTTACAAACACACCACAAACACAAGAGAAGAAAGAGAAGACAAGCTCTCAGCTCTTGGAGATTTTATAATTTGGTAGTGAAGATAATATAAAAAGATAATAAACAGTAAAAGATAGTAAACGGTAGGTGTCAAAAGAGGTAACATAGACAAGAGGTGTCAGGAGATCAATTCCGTCTGTGCCTGTGGAGAAATAGTCAAATGTAAGGCTTCAGATGGAGAAAGGAAAAGAAAGGGTGTGATACACTAAATGCTTTACAGTCGTTGTCCTAGTTAAGTCTTTCAACAACCCTCTGAGGCAGATGTTATCATTATCCTCCATTCCCAGTTGAAAAATGACAGTGAGAGGGTCTAAGCCACTCGCCTACATTCACACATCTGGTAAGCACTGTGTCCACTATCACCAAGGTCCTCCTGATCACCACTGCTGCCTCTGAGGTGTTAGGTAGTAGACTGAGATTTGCATGGCCTATGCTCCCAGAGGTGTGACTGAGAAAGCAAGATTAAAAAAACTATTTTAGAATATGACTTTACTGTCCCAGGTGTTATAAATACAAATATCATTCAATTACATTGGATTACAAGAGTCTAGGGAAAGTGTCAAAGATCAGAAACACTAAAATCAAAACAAATTGAAGTGTTTTGGTGGCTATTTGCATGTACAGAAAAGAGAAAGCTAAAGAGAAAGGGAAAAAAACTAAGATAAATGTGAGTTTAAAGATTCCAGAAACACACACAAAATATTCCACACGAATTAATAAACAAGTGAAGTTGTAAGATTCATAATCAATGTAAAATAATCAGTTCTAATTTTACACACTACAGTGAACTAAGAAAGAAATTGAGAAGACTGTTCTACTTACAATAGTCTTAAAAAGATAGTTAGGAATAAATTTAACCAAGAAAGTCAATAACCTTGTACTCTAAAACACAGATGAAAGATATTGAAGTAGCTACAAATAAATCAATGTATGTCCTATATTCATACACTAGAATTGTTAAAATGTTCATAACATTCAAGCAATCTGCATACTCAATCCCTATCAAGATTCCAATGAGATTTTTCACAGAAATAGAAAAAACAGTCCCAAGATCAAGATAAGTGCAAGGTTAAATATTATGCACACAAAGACTGTTATCACTAGTAAACTCAGCAGAGTTGCATGATGTAAAATCATTACATAAAAATCAATTGTATTTCTGTACATTAACCAGCACAATCTGAAAAGGAAATTTAGAAAACCCTTCCATTTTCAATGGCATCAAAAAAGAATAAGACATTTAGGAGTAAACTTAACAAAACAGGTGAAAGATTTATAGACTGTGTCGCTCCCCCTCTTCGTGGAGGAACGACACAGGACCCTGCGCTGTTCTTTCGTCTGCTCGGCCCTCCCCGGGTTTGCTGCTGGTTCTTCCCGGGTTGGCTACTATCCCTTCCACCTCCGTGGAAGGGCAGTTCCCCCTGGCCGCATTCCCCACTTCCGCAGGGGAGCGGCACACCGCCGGCCGGTTCTCTCTGGGGGGCTGCACAGGTGTTCCTTCAGCTAGATGTTCCCCTTAGATGTTCCTGGTGCATGCCGTCTCTCTCCTCCTTTATAGTCCTCCTCCGCCAATCCTAACTCGGCTGCCCACACGCCGAGTACGCTGCTCTCCTCCAATCAGGAGCAAGTCCTACAGTTAATTGGTTGAACTGGAGGCAGCTGTGCGGAAGCTGTTTACTTCTCTCCCAGCGCCATATTGTGGGAGAGCAGATGCATAGAATAAGTCTTAATTCCAGTAACAGTCTAGTCCGGTTTGCTCCCCACAGACTGAAAAACTAAAAAAATTTGCTGAAAGGAATTAAAGATGATATTCATAAATGGGAATGTTCGTGGATTATAATACTTAATATTAAGATGTCAACAATATCCAAAACCACATACAGATTAATGCAATCCTTTTCAAAGTTCCAACATTTTTTGCAGAAAGAGAAAAATTCAGCCTAAAGTTCATGTGGAATCTTAAGAAATATCAAATTTCCAAAACAGTCTCAAAAAAAAAAACCCAGAATTGGCAGAATCATACTTCCTGATTTCGAAACTTACTACAAAGCTACAATAATTAAAGCAGTATGGTATTTGCATAAAGACATATATATATATAGACCAGTGGAATAAAATAGATCAGAAGAAATACTTCTTTCCGGGCCGGCGCCACAGCTCACTTGGCTAATCCTCTGCCTGTGGCGCCGGCACCCCAGGTTCTGGTCCCCTTTGGGGCACTGAATTTTGTCCCAGTTGCTCTTCTTCCAGTCCAGCTCTCTGCTGTGGCCCGGGAAGGCAGTGGAGGATGACCCAAGTGCTTGGGCCCTGCACCCACATGGGAGACCAGGAGGAAGCACCTGGCTCCTGGCTTTGGATTAGTGCTGCGCGCCGGCCATAGCAGCCATTTGGGAAGTGAACCAACGGAAAGGAAGACCTTTCTCTCTGTCTCTCTCTCTCACTGTCTACTCTGCCTGTCCAAAAAAAAAAAAAAAAAAAAAACTTTTTTCCATATATCATCAAATGATTGTCAACAGTAGTGCTAAGATCATTTAGTGAGAAAATGATAGTCTTTTCAGTAAATTGTGTGGTGAAACCAGATATTCCATCGTGTAGGAAAATTATCTGAAATGTATCAAAGACCTAAATATAATAGCTAAAATTATAAAAGTCCTTTTAAAACATTTTATTTTAGATAGTTTTAAGTTAACAAAAAATGATGTAGTACAAAGAGTAAAACTATAAAACTTTTTTTAGAAAAAACATTCATTTATTTGGAAGGCAGAGTTACAGGAAGAGGAAGAGAGAGAGAGAGAGAAATCTTTGGAGTTCACTCCGCAAATGGCTTTAAATGGCCTGGCCCAGGCTGAAGCCAGGACCCTTGAACTCCATCTAGTTCATCACCATGGGAGTGAGGGTCCCAAGTATTTGAACCATCTTCTGCAGCTTTTCCAGGTGCATTAGCAAGGAGCTGGATTGGCTGTGGAGCATCTGGGCCTCAAACCAGTGCTCATATTGGAAACTGGCATCGCAGGCAGCAGTTTAACTGCTGCACCAGGATGCTGCCCCTTATAAAATTTTTAAAAGAAAAAGGAGAAAGAACAAAGAGGGCAGCTTTATAACATTGGATTTGGCGATGAATTTGTGAATATAATACCAAAAATACAGGCAACAAAGGAAAAATTAGTGAATTGGACTTTCTTCAAATTACAACCATCAAAGGATACTGTCAACAAAGGTAAAAGGCAGATCTGATGATTGATTAGTTTAAGAAAAACTCTAGAACAACAACCATCTCCAACCAAATGGGGTAGGGACTTGAACAGACATTTCTTTAAGGAACATACACAGATGGCCACAACTCCATGAAAAGATGGCTCAGCACCACTGATCATTAGAGAAAGGATGATAAGACCACAGTGAGAGACCCTTTCACATCCCAAGGTGGAAGGCCATGGTAAAAAACAAAACAGAAAACATGAAGAGAAAAAATAGAAATAGAAGCCATAATATTTTCTTCTCAGATTATGCCCTTTCTTAGAGACCACTCTTTTAAAAGGAAAAGAGGAAAAGAGAAGGCTGGCGTTGTGGCTCACTAGTCTAATCCTCCACTTGCGGCGCCAGCACCCCGAGTTCTAGTCCTGGTTGGGGCACCGGGTTCTGTCCCAGTTGCTCCTCTTCCAGTCCAGCTCTCTGCTGTGGCCTGGGAAGGCAGTGGAGGATGGCCCAAGTGCTTTGGCCCTGCACCCGCATGGGAGACCAGGGGGAAGCACCTGGTTCCTGGCTTCCGATCGTTGCAGCGCGCCAACCGCAACGCGCTGGCCGTAGCAGCCACTTAGGGGGTGAACCAATGGAAAAAGAAGACCTTTCTCTCTGTCTCTCTCTCTCACTGTCTAACTCTGCCTGTCCAAAAAATGGAGATATACGGCAAGATAAAACACCGAGAGAGAGAGAGAGAGAGAGAGAAGCCAATAAATTTCTTTACTGATAAACTACAGTGAGTGAGATCTGAGGAAAATGAAGTGTGTGCCCTGAAAGCAAAGGGAAGAAGGAGAGGTGGAGTGGTTCACTGTGTACAATACTGTGTGCAGGCAAGTAAGATCAGCGCAGGGGCCCATGCTATGGCCCAGTGGGTTAACACTCTGGCCGGAAACACTGGCATCCCTTATGGGCGCCAGTTCTGGTCCCGGCTGCTCCTCTTGCAATCCAGCTCTCTGCTATGGCCTGGGTAGCAGTAGAAGATGGCCCAAATCTTTGGGTCCCTGCACCTGCCTGGGAGACCTGGAAGAAGCTCCTGGCTCCTGGCTTCGGATCGGCACAGCTCTGACAATTACAGCCAACTGGGGAGTGAGCCATCGGATGGAAGACCTCTGTGTGTGTGTGTGTGTGTGTGTGTGTGTAACTGTGACTTTCCAATAATAAAATAAAATAAAGATCAGCCCAAAGGTCCTTTAGTTGTCAAAAAAAATGTCTGAAAGTTTGTAGAGCATGGAATGCCTCCAGGAACAGAGAAGGGATCAAGAGACTGAATGAGAATAGAGAGTGTATGAGGACAGCTTACATACAGGATTCCAGACTGCGCTGAATGGGCAGTCTGAGCAGAGCTGTAGCTAGATGTTTACAGGTAGGGTGGTAGAGGAGGAGGGAGTCAATACATTCAAATTCAATAGGGAGATATGGAGGAGTTGATTTTATAACTGTCCTTTATGTGTGCCTTAAGAGCTAACACCTCAGGCTTCCTGTGGGTTTCCCAGTCTTATCAGGAAGACTTGTGATAGGACTTAAGGTTTAGAAATGGAGAGCAATGCCAGCTAGGTTAGCTGGTGGCCAGTGTCCTTCTCAGGAAGCGAGAAAGAGAGAACAAAATAGAGGGGCAAGACTCAAGATGACATATAATCGTTTGCTGTCACACAGAAGGACATTGGAGACCTTGATAAAAAATGGTTTGGACAGAAAGTGCTGGAGTAGATTGGAGAGACTGTAAAGTGAAAGCAGTAATTATAGTTTGCATTCATCCATGAGTTCTGTATCTGTGGATTCAGCTGATCACAGGTTGAAAATATTTGGAAAAAAAGTCTGTATTGAACATGTACGTACAGACTTTTTTCTAAACAACATGGTACATCAACTAGTTACTTAACCTGTTATATTAGGTATTAAAATTATCCTAGAGATGATCTTAAGTATTCAGGAGGATGTGCATAGTATATGAGTGCATATATATATATATATATAATGCCATTTTCAGGGACTTGAACAATGACTGATTTTTTTTGTCTGTGGGATGTCCTGGAACCTGTCCCCCACAGATACTGACAGATGATTATTTTAGCAAAATGTTTTTCTTTGAAGGGAGAAAAGAAATTAGAAACAAATTTTTGAAAGGTAATATGGGTTCAAGTGAGTTGTTTTGGTTTTGTTTTCATTTCTTCCTAGACAAATTAGAACGTGTTTGAGTACTGGAAGGAAAAATGTGGAAGAGCTAAAGAAACAGTGGGAGCAGAGTCTTTGAGAAGGAGAAAGGGGATGGGAACCAGGGCCCATGGGAAGAGTTGGCAGAGGGTAGTGAGGCAAGGTGCAGACAGGTAAAATAATACCTTCGGTGGAGGAAAGATGAGGAAACTCTTCTATGATAAAGTAAGGTGAGGGGAGCAGAGTTTAAGTAGGAAACTCAGTGGGGAAGTGTGCAGTAGCCATTTGGGATTTTGGAAAGTAAATATTCCAGGAATCTATGACTTAGAGTCATTTATTTGCAGCGAGATGCTTACTAGGGCCAGGTGTTTTTCTCCAGCAACACTCAGCTACTCAAGGTCAGGCACAGAGCAGGCAGACAGCTGATTTTAACCAGGTTGTGGCCTTTCCAGAGCACAACAAAGAGGGGTGAGATAAGGAAGTAAATGGAGTTTCCAAGGTGTGTTGGTGATTGGTAGTGAGAGAATATCAATGTTTGGATTGGGTTTGGCAGTCATCATAAGAGTGAGTTCCTGAAGTGGGTTGATAAAAGATCGCTAAAGTGAGAGATTAAGGAACTGAGAGGTCAGTTTATGAATGTGTGGCACTGCGGTGTGTGTGTGTGTGTGTGTGTGTGTGTGTATGATTGCTGCACAGAGCCTAGGGACGTCTAATCTGATAATTAACAGTCTCGCGTTGGTCAGGAGCTGCATTTCCTCCATGCACCTATACCCATGCAAGATGGCCAAGTTCCCCATTTTTGATAGAGGGCATTAATAAGTGACTAGAAACAGTAGGCTGTCCCCATATGGATGGGAGCTTTCTTCCCACTTGAGGATAGCTCAGCACTGAGTCCTATCTGCTCCACTTTCTGAATCTCTCAACTTCAAGTCATTCTTGCCATTCTCACATCAAGAAATCCCTTCATCTTTATCCTCTCTTTACTTTCACTGGAGCCCAACTTATCTGGAAAATCCACATCAGAATGTCAAAATCTCTCAGTCACATGCTTACAGTATATGATTCTCTGAGTCTTTGTTTCTTCTTCATTTTGTTTTAGGGGGAGGTAAAAAAGCAGCCTTCAGGGTTCTAGAACAAGCAAAAGAAGAGAGAAACACACAGGAGATCAGATAATCATAATCATCCTAAAACTGATAGATACTTTGAGATTATTGAATCATCAAAAAACAAAGACAGGAGTAGGGGTAGAAGAGAGTGAGTCCAGTGTTAAACTTTTCAGTGCTTTT